TTTCTTCTGGTGGTTGTGATGAAGATAATTCTAACTCACCACATCTTTCTCTTTTTCTTTCTTATAAGTCACATTCATATAATATCAATATTTTCTCCTCCACCAGTAATTAGGCTTCTATTGGCTGTTTTTCCCCTTTTCCTGCCCTCAATTTTAAATATTTTTGAACATTTAATATGGAAAGGTATTTAGAAAGTACTGTCATATAGTCGGTCAATTGACCTAAAGCATCATCTATATTTGGAGTTTTCATCAGATTAATGAAAAAAGCACAAGGATATCATGACATTAACAGTGCCTCTTATACCATCTATGTGTCTATGGAGATTCTCAGTCATCCAGGACACACTTGTCCCAAAGGTGCTTTTTCAAAAGGCAACTGGACTTTCTTTGTTTTTGCTTGAAAACATTTCGCTTCTCATTCAAGAATGCTTCTGATGAACTGAAGAAGCTTGGATGAGAAGTGAAATGTCTTCAAGCAAAAACACACAAAGTCCAGTTGCCTTTTGGGTGTTTAATATCATAAAAAGGCTAGAGCTTGTGTTGTAAAAATGCAATACATATTTTTCCATTTGCTCTACCCTTGAACACTCATGCAATTGACCATCATGTTTCTCCAATTTGTTTAATACTTGGGCATAAATGGGTTTCTCCATCTGTTATGAACTGAATCACACTGCCAATCGATTGAGTTCTCCTCTTTCTCTCTTTTGCCCCAAACATGCCTTAATTAAGAAAGAAATAACTGAACCCATCCCAAAATAGTTGTAATATTAAGTTTTTTTCAAAATGTAGAAATGTAGTAGATTCAGTGCATGACTTATTTACTAGACCAATGTTACTATACTGAAGTTGCCAGAAATGTTACTGAAAGACAGTAATTAATTAAGGATTACTTTGTAATATTTGGTCTGCTTTTATTTACTGGACACTTATGTTTTAAAATGGGTAATTTCATAATGATCTTTCTTTGAAGCAGAGTGTCAAGATTCCAAGCTCTAGTCAAGCTACATCAAAATAATCCAGTTAAACAGGACCAGCAATAGTAATGGGTCTATAGTTTAGTTAATAATTTCCATTACAGATGATACAGTAACTAATTCACTATGCTATTTTCTCAGTTTTTATATGGAAATGTGAGAAATATTGATCAAGGTATTTAGGGAATATTTTTTCCCAAAAATATAAGGCTTAATACATCTTTGACTTAACAACTACTCCTTTAAAATAAAATTTGTGTAATGAATTAAGTGCCTCAAAAGGTAACTGAGTAAGCAAACAAGAAAAACTCATAGAAAGAAAGGAAAACAAAGAAACACAGAAGAAATATTTATATTCTTCAGTGTTTCATTACAATAGGAAGTGGTAACTTCTTCAAAATTTGAGCTGTACTTCAGGAAGAATTTGATGAAGTAAACAAGGGAGCAGATAAAACATTCAGCTTAATAAAAAGAATTAACAGAATAGCAGAACAATAGTGGTTTAGAAAATCACAATATTACCCGATAAGAAGCCAAATTTAGTTTTATATATGAAATGCTATTGTAAAGCCATTATTTTCTTCCTTAAAGCACAGAATCAGAAAACAATATAGAAAAATAAACTGTAATCTCAGACTCACAGTTTAAGTCTTTATCAAGGAAAGCCTTCTACCTATTTTCTCCTTTACATTTAAAACCAAACATTCAGCTCTCTTAACCATGACCTGCCTTACATTTTTCTTTAGACAACTTAGACAAGAAATGAGTTAGTATATGTGTGCACTTAACAAGTACAGAACACGTGCACATAATTAGAAAATATAGTCAATCAAGGAACCTTCCTATTAGAGGTTCAAAACCACAGGAAATCATCCTGTAGCTTTTCAAATCCTTTACCAACAGCCAGGAACTAAATTGATATTATTAATATTGTATGAACCCAATAAACATTTATTTTGCAAAACTAAGTAAGGCCCAAGGCAATAAATTACTTATTCAAAATACAATTCCAATTATTCCTTTTTTTAAGTCCCAGGAAATTACAGCCAGTCATGGGAACTACTGATGGGAATTAACTAATACTATTTTGTGTAATGTGAAGAATATTGCATTCTGCATGTACTTAAAATTATACTGATTTTGTAAATCTGCCCTTCAGAAGCCATATCTAGAAGTCAGTGGTACAGATCTCATCTTTGCTGGGGAAATGCTGTATCAGCTATGGTCCTGCATTTATAGCGTAAAAATATTGATTTGCCAATTATTGTGAAGATTGCAGCCAAATAATATTATGCAGCACTTCCTATTCAAAGGCAAAAAGGTGCCAAGTACATGTTCTCATTCTTGTGTGCTTTGAAGCATCTTATTGACTTCAGACTTGAAACCCTGCACAGCTTTACAAAAAGCATATGAAGCACTTTTGAACTCTTGAGAGCTATACAGGTAGTCCTCAACGTACAACAGTTCATTTAGTGACCATTCAAAGTTACGACGACACTGAAAAAAGGACTTATGATCCTTTTCACACTTGTGACCATTTCCCCATGGTCACGTGATTGAAATTCAGATGCTTGGGAACTGACTCGTATTTATGATGGTTGCAATGTCCCCGGGTCACCTGATCACCTTTTGTGATGTTCTGACTAGCACAGTCAGTAGGGAAGCTGGATTTGCTTAACAACCGGGTTACTAACTTAACAACTGCGCTAATTTGTTTAACAAGTATGACAAGAAAGGTCATAAAATGGACAAAAACTCACTTAACTGTCTCACATAGCAATGGAAGTTTTGGGCTCAATTGTGAAGTAAGTCAAAGATTACCTGTATACCAATCTTCTGTCTTTCACATACCTTCACTACAGTTCCTGTTCCCATTATCCCCAGCTAGTTTTGACAATTTGGTCTACAGTTTATGGGCTAAAAGCTGTCCAGATGTAATAGTCCAGGGTAGCTAGAAGAATCCAGTTTGGGAAAGGTTACGCTATATGAATGACAAGCTTTATTATTTGAATGACAAGCTTATTAGAACTAGATCCAGTTCAAACACACTAGCAGATAAAATATTATATAAAATGGGAGAGAAAAAGAGAGAAGCAGAAATCCCAGCTCCAAATTTTGGATCTGCTGGTGACTCGCACTAAATGAGATGCATTTTATTTGGACTTTCAGTTAGTTGCCTTGCTTCTTTATGTCTAGATTTCTGTGTCCTTGTTAGGAGGGGGAAAGTGTTGATTTGAAATGTGTTTTGAAATCGAGAGAGGTTATTTTAGACTCACAGCAAGCTATTCCAATTATACCACAAACATTCTCAGTTTGAACCAGCCCTCATAGGATGAAACAGCCCATTTTGAACTCAAACTACTGCATTTGAAAAAAATGTGTGCACTACTTGTTTTGTCTAAATCAGATTGGCATGAAATGCAGAAGTGAAGAGCTTGTCAAAGTTATAACCACTAAATTAGGTGATTGGGTATACTATGTTTTCCACAAAATAAGACCAGGTCTTATATTAACTTTTGCTCCAAAAGATGCATTAGGGCTTGTTTTCTGGTTAGGTCTTATTTTTGGGGAAATGCGATACTAAATGCGTCCATCTAGCTGACGATCTTAACTGGGGCTTATTTTTGGGGTGGGGCTTATATTATGAGCGTCCTGAAAAAATCATGCTAGGCTTTATTTTCCAGTTGGGTCTTATTTTTGGGGAAACACGGTATCACTTCCTTTCAGCACAATGGTGGGTTGAAGGGTTCAGTGTAGCTTTTCTCCTCCAACTTGAGGTTCTCCATATGTGTTGGGCTACTTCCAGGATTCTTATTTTGATTCTAATACATCTGGAAGGAACTGGTTTGGGAAAGGTTGCCAAAACCCCAAAGATGTCTCTATTTACAAGGCTGAGGAAGAATCTTTCTGATCTTGATAGCAACAATTCTATGAAGTTTTTTTGAAACTTTAAAATGGGAAGTATAGTGACCTTTAGACAACTGCCTGAAGAGGAATAGATGGAGCCTATTCTAACAATATTCTGACATATTTGGTGACAACTTGACCACCCATAAAAGGTGATAATTTGAATGAATATCAGCATGGTATTTTGAAACCTGTATTTTGAGGAAACAAGGCCAGTTGAGGGAAGAGTAATTCATAAATCTATGTAAATAACCGTATTATATACAGGTAGTCCTTGACTTACAACCATTCATTTAGTGACCATTCAAAGGTATGATGGTACTGAAAAAACAGTGACTTATGACTGGTCCTTGCTCTTCCTTGCGGTCACTTGATCATGATTCAAGAGATTTGCAACCAGCATGCTTTTTTTTTACAAGAGGTTGTGCCTCTTGGAGTCATGTGATCACCATTTGCAATCTTCCCAGCTGGCTTCTGACAAGCAAAGCCAAAAAGTAGAGCCAAATTCACTTAAAAATCTCATAATTTGCTTAATGACCATGGCAAAAATGATCATGAAATGAGGTGTAATAATGTGACAACTCATTTAATGACCCTATTGCTTAGAATTGGAAGTTCCAGTCCCAACTGTGGTCATAAATCAAAGACTACCTATGTGGACTCTAGCACCCTTGGATCTAGTTGCTTAATGTTCAGACTTTCTTGCTGTGATCTGACTACTGTAATGCATATATCTAGGTATGATGCCTGTATTGCTAGATGCTATTGCTAGTTTTATACTTCCATGCAGCACCAGGGTTCTGTAAATCTAACACGCCTGTATTTGTTGCTGGCGGTCTATAAACCGAATTAGCCATTTTGCACATAAAAGATTCCCTTTTCCTTAATTTGGACTGTAAGTGTGCTTAAGTGTGTTTGTGCAAAGGATTTTGTGCAAAAGTATTGTGATTACATGCACGCATGAAGAATTTTAAAAGCCAACTAAGAACTCAGCCAAAAAAGAGTGCTGCCATCATGCAGGTCGATTTCATCGCCTGAAAAATTCAGCCCTTGAGTTCATTTGTTTTCTAAACTCAATCCCAGATTTTCATTCAGAGTTGTCAATCTGCTTTATTAATGGTAAGCTGTCGTGGCATTTAGCACTTTAAATCAAAAGGCTATGGATGCAGGCTTTTAGCATAGTTCGGTGATCACTGGGCAAATCAGCATGGACAGCTCCTTCTTCAAGAGAAAGAGGTCCTTTAAGTTGCACATAAAACCAGGCGCTCTGCTTTTATCGCGGTGGCCGTGCACTGCAGACACAGTCGCAACGTTCATGGTGCTCCAGTTGAATATCAATCAGTGCCATATTGTGCTTAGTTTTGCCCCTCCTCCTGAGATGACCTGCTTCAGGGATAAATCTCAGCACCTAGTTAGATAAAAAAAAAAAGGAATCAGAAGGTAATTAGAATATGTAGGAACCTTCTAGGTACATCACCTCACAATAATGTAGAAAGGTAATAATATTTTTCTTCAGGATTTGACTACATACTGATCTTGCGCATCTTTAGTTCAAGTTAAAAAGAAGCTTTTTTCCATCAACTTATCCTCCAGGTATTTTTGAAGTATAGGAAAGGGTAGGCTTTGACTGCGAGAGTATATGAAACCCTTGGATTAATTTCAAGATAATTTCATCAATTTTGAAGTGATCAGTCAGAATGTTTAGTAAAAGTAATTTGTCTGTTCCCTGGTAATCATTCTTAGAAGAGCAGAAGAGGGAGAAAGGAAAAGGGAGGAGAAGAAAAGAGAAAGGAGGAGGAGGAAATGGAGGAGGAGGTGGTAATTGGGATAAAAAAATAAGGAGAGAGAGAGAAAGCGAGAGAGAGAGAGAGAGAGAGGGAGGGAGGGAGGGTGGGAGGGAGGTCGGGAGGGAGGGAGAGAGAGAGAGATGATGCCTAATTATTTCAAAATCTCTGCGTGAGGCATCTTTTTTCCACAACTGAAAAAGATAAGATAAGATGTTTTTTGTAACTATAACTAGTTTGGAACTTCATAATTTTCATTTTCACTCATCATTTCACCAATCTCTTCTTTGGGATATAAATAGGGCAAATTGGCAGTGGAGACAAAGATGCTTCTTTGCTAGAAACAAAGAAGAGTTTGGTTCTTTGGAAGTTTTAACCTAGTTTCCTGCAGTGAATAAGGGATTAAATTTGGTGGCTTCATTGACCTATGATTTTAATCATCTCATCTCCAAAAGGAAACTGTATAGTTGAAAAGAAGATGGGTAAGGATAACCAAAATAGTCAAGGGACTGGAAAAATCCCCCTATGAAAATGATAGCAGTTTTTGGACTTTGGTTAAAAGTTTGTATATGTGTGAAGGTAGCAACCATCAATGATCTTAGATGTGAGGCACAAATGCCAGGTCTAAAGAATTACTACAGTAAATAACTATGGAGCCCATAAGAAAACATTCTTCTCACAATCCCTTAATATATCAGTCCTGACTGTGGACCCATGATAATAAAACTGAGATGGAAAGTACAACTGGTATGCCAGGTTTATAAGGATATAAAATATTATGATGTCCTTATAGAATTGACAATATAGAAGAAGGAGAAAAATATGAGCCTGTCCAGAATTTCTGCCTTGTGACTCTACTGAAAACCCTGAAGGGTTTTACTTAGGTACTTTCCTTTAGTGAAGAATTAACTTGACATACAAACTCCATCACTCTTTATATTTCTGTTCCTCTTTAAAAAAAAAATTACCTTTTTGATTTACTAGTGAGGGTTGAACATTCCACTGAATGAATTGGTGATTTTTAAAATGAAGTTTATATGGAAATTAATTAAATTTGAGGCACAGAGTTGAAATTGTGTTGAGAATTGTGGTTTATCATTAGGGCTGGATGATCAGGCTATTTTCAGTTATCTTAGTTTCACAGGTAATCACTCTCTCGCATTCCTGTATTAATATATCTGTGGCAACTGCCACTCTAAAGGACTTATTCTCATCCAGAAATACTGTATATGGGAACCTTATTTTGTAATATTACATAATCAAAACAAAGAGGTATTCTTTCAATGTCCCTTCAGCCTTTGGTGAGGGTTTTCCTTTTCTGTTCCATCTTTCCTCTTTATGGCAATTATCTTTCAAGGCTAGCATTCCCTTTGCTCCTGGATCCAACTTGGTCTTCTTAGGCCAAATGGCTGGAACAAGTGATGGAGCATCTTATCCACTAGAGTCCACAGGCCAGAAGGAGTCCCAAGTAATTTGGTAAGACATGCCCCCTGTCACCACAATGGGTCTGCCCACGAAGAGTCAAAGCTGTGGTGAAGCTGAACAACTATCAGCAAAATGCTGTGCTAATTGGTCACAGCAGCCAAACTAGAGATCAGTTGTGTCAATCTTTTCCTAAAGTGAAGCTGGCCAGCACAAAGAAGGCTGCTGGAGAGTATCACACTAACACAACAAGGAAGGACAAGTATATCTAAAAAAACATATTGTTTTTAGCAACATGTGTCTAGTAAATTAATGCAATATGTTGCTTATGAACATTTTGGACCATGTAAGATTGAAAAAAAAATACTCAACCTGAAGAAGACTACATGTTATTTCAGTATTGACTAGTTTCCTTCCAGATCTGGAATAAACGGAATCTTATCCATTCATAATTAGGGATTTCAGTGTTATAGAATTTATAATAGTCTATAAAGTTCTGATAGTATAAGGCTGCCCAACCCAGACAGTATGACTCTGGGCAATGTACAGATAAAGACACAATAAATCAAAAAGGAGAAAAAAGCAATAAAACCATCTAGCAACAAACAGACAATATCTAAATACAAAATATAAAATGGTGACTGAGCACGCAACAAAACAACCACAAGGTAGACTTCCACTCAACCCGGGCATAAACGTTGGTTATCTCATGGGCAGATAATTTCAGACATTTTTCCATAGTTCTATCATGCTCCTTACCATTTTTTAATGTTCTTCTCATCCCTCATTCCTCCAGGATATTTCTCACAATCCATAGCTTACCCTTTTTCTCTAGATGGGTAGGGACAGTTTCAGAGAAAGCAATGGTCCACAGCCTTCCTTTTGAATTTTATAACAATGCCTTTGGAAACTGAATAGTGGCATACTGGCATCACAATATGTCTAGTTATTATTTATGTATATTTTAATTAAAGACCAGTAGCTTTCACGAGTATTATCAACAAGACTTTCATGTGCAGGTATTTCTATCTTTCCTAACCATAGCATAATTGTGACTTGCCTTTCTCTTGCAGCACAGTTCCTTCAAAACCTTTGAATGCCTGATATCAATTAATAGCTACATGGATAAAAACCAGCACACCAGCAGCCCAGCTTCTCAGCTGGCCCTTTCCCCTCTTTAAGATATTGAGAAAAGGGATTTTCATCTGCCATGTATGTAAGGTTAATACTGAAGTATAAATCCCTTGTGGAACTGGCATATCCTCCTGTTTAGATGGTTATATTGATTCTAAGATACAAAGGAAGTCAGTGCACTGCAGACAGTTATAAAAAAATGGCTAGATTAATATGGAGCAAAGGTAATGAAGGATAGTTTGTTTTAGAATACACACACACACACATATACACACATAACACATACATACACACACACAGAAGGGGGAGGGGGAGGAAGTGGTAACTGGATAAAAAAGCAGGAGATGGAGGAGGAGGAGGAGGAGGAGGAGGAGAGGAGGAGGAGGAGGAGGAGGAAGAAGAAGAAGAAGAAGAAGAAGAAGAAGAAGAAGAAGAAGAAGAAGAAGAAGAAGAAGAAGAAGAAGAAGAAGAAGAAGAAGAAGAAGAAGAAGAAGAAGAAGAAGAAGAAGAAGAAGAAGAAGAAGAAGAAATGAATGAACCTTTCCTGAGTTCACATCAATCTTACCTTTGATGTATCCAAAATAGATTTATTTTCACAGGTTCTATTAATATTAGATTTATGCTCATTGTACTGTTAATTCAGCAATAAAGGATACATATATAGTACATCTAAATTTACCATTGCCAGGTCATTTGAAGCTGAAGCTAGAAAATCATCCTTAATTAATTTTCATTTGTAATATCATAAGAATGGAAATAGCCCAATGGGTAAGTAAATTTCATTTATTTTATATATTAAGCTCTGGAATGTAGGACTTTCCACATAGAACTGACCAAATAATCATTCCACTGGTTACTATCTGACACGTCAACAGGCAACAGAACTGTTAAAATTCAGTAGATTCATCATAAATTATATTAACCTTTGGCTACTGGGCAGGTATTCCATCTCCATTATGAAACTGGTATATTTTTTCTTCCTGCTTCTGTCCATACAATAAATTCCGCTTTTAGACATTTCTCCACATCTCTAGCCCAGGCAATCTGTTCAAATGCCAGTGGTCTGATCACACCCTGCTCCTAAAGTCAGTTCAGCAATCACATCACTGAGAGAGGAGCACTGAAGCATGGCGGCAGCCTTTGCCAAGCTGCCGCTCTGCCAAAGTTTATTTTAAATTGTATTTGTTTATTTTAACCATTATTCTCATGCTTTTTGTTCCTACACACTTGTGTAAAGATCCAGAAGCAAGACTAGGAGACAACTGCTATAGTAATTTCTTCCTTTACTCTATTACTTCAATGGATATAGAACAAAAGAGACTTTTGCTCATGCTTTATCTCATGAGAAGGAGGACAAATAGCCACTCTTTGCCTGCAATTTACAACAGTGCCAGAATGAACTGCTAACCCCAATTATACCATTTCCTGACATAAGACCCTATCTTGCCCCCATTCCATTATTTAAATAATTGTATCCCTCAGGATTTTTTTTTTAAAAAGAAAACACCAAATCAGCTGTCACAATGCTTTGGCATAAAAATCCATAGTGGTTTTGTCTTTATAGAAGACATATATTTATGGGACATGTCCAGCTTGACTGTCATTAGTAAAGTTTAGTGCAGTTAAGAATGATTTGGGAGAGATGCCAGTATTCTAGGCATCTCTTCAGCCAACCAGAACCATCCAAATGTGCATTTATCTACTGACATGGGAAACAGTTAAATGAGTGTCAAGAAAGCAGCACTAAGAAATGTTACAGATAGTCCTCAACTTACAACTATTCCTTCAGTGACTGTTCAAAGTTACAACGGCACTTTAAAAAGTAACTTAGGACTGTTTTCATACTTAGGACTGTTGCAGCATCCCCACGGTCACATGATCAAAATTCGGATGCTTGGCAGTTGGTTCATATTTATGACGGTTGCAGTGTCCCAAGATCACATGATCACTTTCTGTGACCTTTTGACTAGCAGAGTCAATGGGGAAGGCAGATTCACTGAACAACTGTGTTACTCACTTAACAATTGCAGTGATTCACTTAACAACTGTGGCAAGAAAGGTTGTAAAATGGGGCAAAACTCACTTAACAACCATCTCGCTTAAAAACAGAAATTTGGGCTTCAATTGTGGTCGTAAGTCGAGGATTACCTGTACCTATCTTCATCTCAGAAAAAAAAGACAGTTGACGTACATACACTTTTAAAAAAGATATAAAAAGCAAGATACCTCATGATACTTCTTCACCAGTTTTCCTGCCGTACAAGCGCATTTCCCATGTGTAGTTCCACAACCACAGTTTCCTCCACAGCGCTGGACAAGGAGGCAGCGAGGGAAAAAAACGGCACTGGTTTGCTTCAGCTCCTCCCTCACGTTGACAGAGTAATTCCTTGGAGTGCAACTATAACGCTTTGCCTCATCGTTGAGCCTGTCTAAATCAACTGAAATAGGCAAAAGGGAATGAGGAGAAAAAAGAGAGAACGGACTTGTAAATAAAATACCTGTTTCCCCATAGAAGTCAATGCATCAATCAATCTCTGGCCTAAATTAATTTTGCAGATTTTTATTACAATTCAGCCCCTGCCTCCATCCGATGGCTGGCTGTGCAGATCTTTGAATGGTGGCTTTGTTTGATGAAAAACTAAGCAAAACTGTCTTTTTAAAATAATAATAATAATAATAATAATAATAATAATAATAATAATAATAATAATAATAATAATAATAATAATAATAATAATAATAATAATAATAATAATAATAATAATAATAATAATGACGTATTATTAAAAGAAAAGAAAACATACATTAAAAATTACAAAAACAGCAATAACATTGGCAATAGCATTTAGGCTTATGTACCACCCCATAACACTTTGCAGCAATCTCTGGGTGATTTTCAATGTAAGCATTATTTGCCTATTGCCCCCAACAATGTGGGTTCACATTTTATCAACCTTAGAAGGATGAAAGGCTAAGTCAACCTTGAGCCACATCAGGATCGAACTCCTGGCAGTGGGCAGAGTTAGCCTGCAATACTGAACTATAACCACTGCGCCACCAAAAATACAAATATTTGCATGGAAAGGTTTGCAAAATAATAAAGATTAAAAGAAAGTAGAAATTACTGCATTGGAATAAACATCTCACTTTATGGTGTCCTTATATATCAGCTTGGATTAAAATAATAGAAAGGTGTGTTTACAGCAATTTAATGTTTTTGAAAATTGCTTTATTTACTTATTATTAATATAAAATTATAAATTATCTGAGACGGCAATCCAATAAAAAAAATAAGCAATCATAATTAAAGCACTTAGAACCTTTATTTTAAGAGAGACCAAATCTTGGTTATGGCACCAACCCATATACAGAATTGTGGAGTCCAACAATCAAGTTCAGAGAGCACTCAGGACTTCGTAAGTGCTGCATGTGTTTTTTTAATATTGGTACAATATATAGAATTATACTTTATCAGTGACTTCCAGATGAAGTTGAAGCTAACATCAAACTTTGTTTTCACATTATTTTAGGCACTGATTCATGCTTCCATAGTTTAAGCTGCCATTCATTTAACAAAGAAATTAATGTGATTTCCACTTAAAAGCCTAACATATCTTGACAACAATGATCTTTTATAAATACTATGTGCATTATAAGTATATGACCTTTAATAACAGACAGATGAAAAAGGAAAGTCAGTATTTATAATTTTTCACCCTTCATCCTATAATAGATCACCTTCCAGAAAAGTTGAACTTTGGAACATATCTGATCTGATGAGTATATTAAGCTGTTAGGACATTATTTATTTTTTCTGTTAGGATAGACATAAAAAAGTTTATAATTAACTTTGAATAAATTGGCCTGCATGATTCAACACCTTTCTTTAAAAGCTCCCTGAAAGTACACTGCTTCTAACCTGTTACAAGGAAAACTTAGGTAATTTATTCCAGTCCCTGGATAAGGGGAGGATTCCAAAATCCAGCCTCCCAGACTAGGGACATCTAGCTTCTTCATTAACGTATTAAATGAAAAGGAATCTTATCAACTCTCCAGGCAACTGGTCTATTGCTCATCCTATTATGAAGTGTTTTTTTGTTTTTGCTCCCTAACAATCAGAATCCACCTTTCTGTAACTTATTGCCTATCCTGTCTTCTGGAGTCTTAACCTTCAGGTATTTGAAGAAAGCATGTGTTCTTCATTTTAGTCTTCTCAAGGTTAAATGTTTCCAATTCCTTCAATTTATGTTCACAGGACCTATTTCCATTCCGTAATTGTCCTTACTGTCATCTGAAGTTCTTCCAGTTTAACTGATTCTGTCACATCCCAGGACTCAGCACAACTCTTAAGGGGGAGATTGTCAAAGCAGAATGGAAACCATTACTCCCTACAATTTGGGAACATTATTTATGGTTCATATCCTAAAATTACATTTACTTTTTTTGCAGCCAGATCACATTCTTGACTTATGTTCAATCAATTGATTCGAAGACTTCCTTTTCACAAGTAGCATAGTTATGCCATTTATTTTCCTTCCTATTACAGCTTTCAATTTATGTTTCTATGTTAAATTTTGTTTTTTTCAAAATCATTTTGAATTTTATTTTTCTCTATTAGTGGAAAAAAGGCAACAAATGGATAGAAAGTGAAGGATGAAGCTATGTGCTTAAGCTACATCTGAAAAATATTTTGATAATTTTCTCCAAAATGGCTCTCCTAATTTATATGCCCATCAAAAGCACAATTTTCTCTCAAAATAAATAAGTTGTTAAAATGTATTTGAATATGCTAATATAACTTTATGGTAGCATTGAAAACCAGAACTGCAATTTCTGCTGGAAACCTACATGTCATTTTTACAGATTAATTTGATAAAGAAATCAGCACCCATCTGATTTCTCAAGGATCTCTGCTTGTCAGGTAAACATTTCCACAGATTCTATCGAATGGAATACTTAATGAGAAAAGTTAAAATAAACAGAATGCTACATGTTAAGAAGTCAATGGCTAAGATTATTTAAAAAATACTAAATGTGATTCTTATGAATTTAAAAGAAGATTAATTCAACAAAAGATTCTCGTATTTATTGGATGTCTCAATATTTAGTGAGTTGTAATTCAATTAGAATTTTTATAACTTTTTTCAATTCAATAAACATATAAAATGAAAAAATAAGAAAAAGGAAGAAAGGAAACATAGAATTATGACTTTGAATCTTCTTTCTATTAATTGCTATCTTATTCTTATCTTTCTCCATTTTATTCTTATTTTCTTGGACCCTTTTAAATCTCCAGATTCATAAAACATCTTATTTAGTATTTTTTTTTCTTTCAACAAAAAGTTCATATAAAAGAGCTAGTTTGGGCTAGTGGTTAAGACACCAGGCTAGAAACTGAAGAAACACGAGTTCCAGACCTGCCTTAGCCATGAAAGGCAACTTGGTGATTTTGGGCCAGTCACTTTTTGTCAGCCCAACCCACCTCACAGGGTTGTTGTCGTTGTTGTGGAAAAACAGGAGGACAAAGCTGTATGGGTATATTTGCCTCCTTGAATTATTTGTAAAAAAAAGAAGAAGAAAGGCAGGATATAAATAAAGTTTCCATCTTTATTTTTTTTCCTCTGGAAAAACTGGTCAGCTTCACCATTTTTGCAAGTTCCATGAATTTTATAATCCAACCTTTTACTGTGCAAATTTCATTATTCTTCCATCTCTGTGTGAACAAGAAACTTCCTACAGTTTCCATATGCAACAGCTTCCCCTTTTTCTTTTCTAGTTCCACATCCATAAAATGCAATATAAACAATTCTGGTTTCACTGTAATATTAATCCGGAATAACTTTTGCATCATTGTATGAATGTGCACCAAGCAAAGAGCTATGTCAGAAGTGTAAAATGGTGATGGTGATGATGATGTATATGACATGGTCTTGCCTCAATATCATCCTGCTTTTAATTTAATATTCATATTTTTGCTAATACGGTTTTTAGAAGAGAAATGTTGTAAAAATGAAAAAGTGATTCTGAGTTACATATTCAAAATTTGGAATTTATCATTAGGTGAAGAACCATGGATTTACCAAGGATGGATGTAGGAAAAAGATTCTTAGAAATAGAAAACAATACCCTATACTTAAAACTTTGGACTGGTAACATGAATTTAAGATTTATCTTTCTATTCATGTAACAGAAAGACTGATAATTTTGTCCTTATTCTTTTCTTCTTTCATTTTTTTGAGTGAATTTCACAATTTTACTTTGTAAGTGAATTAGTGTTTGGTATGGAATATGGTTACCGTACTTAATCAACGTTGCTTTTAGTTTAAAGAAATGATTCTAGATTTCTGTTTTCAAATTCTCTATTAATGGCATGCAGGAAACTTCTGGTGGAAATGGTAGTGATAGCTAAGGATGACTTTTAAATGATCCAAAGATGAAATTACAACTTATGTACTAAATCAGCAGTTCTCAATAGCATCGAGTCATTTGTTGTGGATAATATTTCTGAGATTATAAACAAGATTCTGCATAAAATCTTGAAAGAGAACTCACTGGCCAGACTACATTTTTGTGATCTGATGCAAGATCTCAAAAGTAAAAATTCTCAATACTTTTAGGCATTCTTTTACATGTGGGAATGGATGCCCAAGCTATCAGAATAGTTAAATTTCATATCAAATATATGAATGTTTAAGAATACCTTATATGTCCCTTGTTTGCTATTTCCCCAACGCTGAAAGCAAGGTCTGGTGTGCATAGCAAAAAGGAAGGAGAATAGAAAACTATTATTACCCTTAACAGGTGAAATTTAATGCTCTGTCATTCTTCAAATACTCTGCCTTTCATGTCTGGCCATTCTGGCTCATTCTACTTATGAGGAAGAAAAGCTTTTTAATGAGAGATTAATTTTTCACTGTTAGTAATTGTGGGCATATCTAACACCAACTCAATTTTAAAAGCTATAGGTGCTGGTAACTGACAAGTTGCAAAGGTAAAGAAGAGTATAAGAACTACCGCTCTAAAATGAAATTAGTGAGAAAGAGAGAAGGGATTACCTCCTTAAAATATTTAGAGGCAAAACAATGAAAACAATGGTTTCAAAATAAATATTTAAAATAATGCTCTTTAAGTATGTTGAAAAGCTACAGGAGTAATTGAAAAGAAATGCAAATGTTGTATCAATCAATTATCAGATAAACATCAACCCCACCAAGAGAGATTTTATCCTTTATGAGTAATTCACTAAACAGGGAATTGTTAGATTACAAGTCCCATAGTTCCTATTTCGAAATACTGGCTAGGAATTATGGAAGTTAAAACCTACAACACTAGAAGGGACACAGATGTGAACACCCAGTCACATACACACAAAGCCTTATGACCTTGCAGGAAAATGTCTATTACTTCCATAAGATTTTGAAAGTCATTTGGCATCTTG